TTTTTTCTTTTTGTGGCACCTGAAATGCATACTATGAAACCATATGTAGTCGAGATTCTACAAAAAGGTGGGGCCATCATGGAAGATTGAAGGGGAAGGGGAGGAGGGGGGCGGGGAAGAGGGTGGAAGCGAGGGGAGGAGGAGTGCATGGAGTTGCTTGAGCTCTGCACAGAAAAAACTGTACTAAGTCTTGGAGAGCATCCGGGAAATTCAATGTGAATAAGCAGTTGGCATTGCACTAAAAAGAGTTGTCGTCAATGGAAATGTCCAATTTCATTCATAATCCTTGTAAGTTTGTGACACTTTGAGAGTAATGAAGATATGTTTTTGAACTACGGGAAAAGAGACAAACGTATTCATTTTCTTGTATTTGTTTGGGAAAGTTGGACCATGTACAGCCTAGTGACCCTGCCGATGGCACGAATCGTCTGGGGTAGGGAGAGGAGCAGGCTGGGGAGCTTCTGCGTTTTCTCTTCACTTATCCCAAAGCATAAGTTGGCGGACCAAAAACATAAGAGGGCACATTGCCTCCCTTCTGACCAAGAACGAGTTTTTTTGCCTTTAGCAATAAACGAAAAAGAAAAAGAAAAAAACGAGTTTCGATAGTCAGATCTTGGGAAGCACAGATTTGCTGACGGGGGGGAAATCCTTCGCCTAGCCAATGAAGATAGTCGCAGTGTCTTAGGAGCATTCTGGACCCGGTTTCCAGCAGTTGTGGTTCCCCACCAAAAGATGGAGCAGCCCAATAGACAAAGCCTCAATCCCGGTGGCTCTCCTACCGCCACCAGGATAAAAGTTTTTTTTTTTCCTTCTTTTTTTTTCTTTTTTGTTTAATAGGATAGAGGTTTTGCATGAAGTCTTATCTTTTTTTTTTCTTTTTTTTTTAAGCAAAAAAAAAGGACAGTGGCAGTGCCAACTAGGACCATGGCACAAAACAACGGCAGTGAGGATTCTCTGAGGCCTCTATAAACCATCCCACCACACCAACGCAGAATACGGATGATCTACAAGCTTTGAGTGCTATTCACAAGACAGGACAGCACTACCTTCCCCAAAAAAAAGAGAAAAAAGAAAAGAAAAGAAAAAAAGGCAGGATATAGAATCATGTTCCCAGTGGATGAAGATGGGACAACACTGCAGTCGCCTGAAATCGTTTCCAAATTGTCCCCTGTTCATCTCCAGATCGCACAACCCGCCCTCTTCATTTTCGATGACGCAGCAACTTTGTCTTGCTGCTATCGGCATCGTTGTTATCGTCTGCAGAAGATCGAGGTAAAGACGATGCGGAGGCAGTTTTCAAAGTGTCGCTGGAAGTGTTTGTGGTGTCGGGCATTTATAGATTGCTCAGCGCCTCCTCCAAGCTGTTGTTCGAAGACAAACTATATGTAGAAACGAATGTCGAGTGTGCAACGACAGCTTGTCCTTGAAGGAATTTTTTTTGAAGTGCTTAACTTCTGGCGGTTTGTTGTTCCATGAATCATGAAGCGATGTAACTTGTGAAGATTCCTTCACATGCACAGCACACACGTCCCCATGGCTCTCTGTTTTAGCGTTGATCGCAACAGATGCTTCCTTACGTAACCGCTTATTCTCTCTGCATACTTGTCCAAACTTGTCACGCAACAGCATGTTACGTGCTCTTTCTTGCTCAACAATCTTCGTCATCACGTTCATCCTTCCTTGAAGATCTTCGACCTCATCCCGTAACGCATCTCTTTGCCTCACTATCGTGTTGAACATAGCCCCCACATTCTCTGCCGCAATTTCTACACTGCGGTGCACCCGACAGACAAATTCTGCAGTACTCCTATCGTAATTTCTCCCGAAAATTATGTTATGTCTGTTCATTGTGCAAGTGTAGTTCAATCGGTTATCACAACACCGGAACGACACTATCACCCACCCAGACTCGATGGAGAAGCACCGATTGACACCCTATAAGAAAGGAAGCATCCAGTGCACGCAAAAAGTACAGACAGACACGTACAAACGACGATGTCATGTAA